GAGAAATCACCCCCCAGGGGTGATGGTCACACCGCAATCCCTTCTCCTCCATTCTCCTCTCGGGATCTTGGGCACGCATGCACACGCACCCGGCGTGAGTTTTAAGCCACCGGGTCCGGGACACGAACCGCGGTCGACTACGTGGGAGTCCAGTGACATAGCCATTACGCTAACTGCTGGTTCCCGACCCTTGTCTTTTTTTAAAAAAAAATATTTTATTTATTATAATCACAATTTTTTATATTACATTTAATCACATATATCTTTACAGTGTATTACATTTCTTTTACATGCCTATGTCTTCTAGAGGACTATTTTTCTGCTTCTTTGATCACAGAAATGGCTTCTCTAAGAATCCTCATCTGCACCTGGTGTGCGCATCTAGGTGTGGAGCTGTGGGACACGCTCAGTTCAATGGCACTCAATCTCCCAAACTGACTGTTCCCGTTACTTTTCCGAGTCCTCAGGCCGATGTACATCGTTCAGTATTTTCAGTGAGAATGCTAGGGAAATTGTATGTACTTCATCTTATACAGAACTGAAAACATTTTTGTTTTTATTTTGCTATAGGATACGTGTGCTTGCCAGAAATAGAAAGATGGAAAGTAAGAAATCACCCCCTTGAGCCATGCCACCTAACCCTTCTCCTCCATTCTCCTCTTAGGATTTTGGGTATGCATGTACACTCTCCTGCCATGATTCTCAAACCACCAGGTCTGGGACTTGAATTGCACAGTCAGCTGTGTGAGATCCAGCTATCTTAACCTCCATGCCACCAGCTGATCCCTGGAACCTTTTTTTTTTTTTTTTTTGGAGAAGTTTTTGCTATAGGGCACGTCCACTCTTCAGAGATACAGAAACGAGAAATCCCCCCCCCCCCCCAGGGGGGATGGCCATGCCACAATCCCTTCTCCTCCAGTCTCCTCTCGATATCTTGGGTACACACGCACACATGCCCGGAGTGAGTTTTAAGCCACTGGGTCCAGGACGCGAACCACGGTCAACTACGTGGGAGTCCAGCGACATAGCCATTATGCTAACTGCTGGTCCCTCCTGGAATCTTTTGAAAAAAGACTACATTGCTAAACATGTAAGTATCTCCTACTATGCTGCTGAACTCTGAATTTATATGGAGAGGTATTTATTTGTTTATCCCTAACACCTCCAACCTCCCTACTCTTTGCCTTAATGGTATTTGTGTTCAGCTATTCTTAATGCTGTATCTTTAGGGAATGGTTTGCTGTATCATACTGCTTTTGCTAAAACAAACCATGACCCAAATGCCTAAATGCACCACCTCGGGCACCTCATTTGATTGCTGGGAATAATTTAAGCAGAGGACACAATTTATCCATTCACTGTCCTCTAGACTTGTAGGAAGGCAAAATCAGTTTACCAGTATTACTTGCCTTCTCTTATGAGCAATAAAATATGACCTTGAGTGCAAAGTGGTACAAATACTTGTATAGAGGAGAATTTTAAAAAGCACCCCATATCCACAAAGATAAAAATAAATAGCTATAAATGTGAGTCATGTGTTAACTCATCCATTAGTGGAAGTTAGAAAGAAGCCAAGCTAATAAAATAAAAGTAATATGGTCATTAAAAGAAGCAATGAAAAGTAGCATCTTAAGTGGGAGTTTTGCAAGAATGGGGCTGGTGTAAAAAACACCCACTTCTCTACATTTTGCCTTTAATTTTGGAGAACATGAAAGAAAACTTAGTGGGAAAATAATGACAAAGTTAGTGTTTCTGTTTTCCTTTCCTTAAGGAAAGGTACATACATAAAAGAGACAATTAGTGACCAACCTGTGGGCTCTTTGCACTGAATTTGTGGATGTGTTATAAAATAAATACAAAGACCTTTGTAGCTATTTACAAGTCTGGTGGCCAAACTTCAGGAAACTAATTATTCAAGTGCTCGGGTAGCGGGATATAGAGTATTTAAGGATTTTTCCCCCCTTCCTTGTTTGCTTCTGGCTATGATTTGTGATGTGGAAATAAGAAGGCTTTTTTTTTCTCTCTTTCTTTTTAAAAAATATTTTTACTTGCTGCCTTCCCAGCAAGACACTGAACAAACTGAGTGCAGGACCTAAGGATGCCTCATTATCACAAGTACTAAAGTGAAGGGCTCTGCAGAACTGCTACTGCTGCTAATGGAGATTGTACTGGAGGGAGAGAAATGATTCTCCCTGCAAACAAAACAAAAGAGAAAGACGCAGGTTTTTCTTGGAATTTTGCATCAGGAAAGTCCTTAGAGATGTAGCTAGGCTACTTTCCTACCTTTGGGACTCCCACCTTTTGGACTCCCTATCTCGTTAGCATAGAGATAGGGAGTCATAGGATCTTGTGCTTTCAGGCTATCTTCTACTTCACTAACTCTCTTCTGGTTTATTAATTCAAGTAATACAAGATAATCATACCAGTGAGGAGATATAAAATATGTGAAGAAGACATTTTAAAAATATTCTGCAAATCGTTCTTACGATGACCTCAAACTATTTTTGAGAAGAGAAGCTGTGCATTTAACATGAGGAGGAGGCAAACACCTCTGATCTATCCAGCCTCTTGTTCATGACTGGGGTTATACCCACTTCCTGCAGTTACACTGTCTAGGCAGACTGACTGCAGGTTCTGATTGGCAGGTCTAGGTACTATTGATGAGAACAAATGGGGGGGTGGGCCACAGGTAGCATGGTGCATTAAGATGCAGGATTCCTACATGGTCAACTAGAGTTCAAATCTTGGAGTTGGTGGCTTGAAAATAACACTGGGTGTGTTTGTCTGCATGACCAAAATCCTGAGAGGAGAATGGAGGAGAAGGGACTGCAAAGGGATTATGGCATGGCCATCCCCACTGGAGGTGATTTCTCACTTCCCCTCTTTGTCCATTTCTGGTGAGTACACATGTTCATGGCAAAAATCACACACACACACACACACACACACACACACACACACGGGAAACTAAATTATTACTTAACTAATAACTTTTTAGCAAAGTAGGAGCCCATGTAAGGATAATTAAAGGTATCATTGAAAGTAAATAAAAAAATCCTAGACCTACCACCATTTGTTGCTGCGCTCAACATGCATGGTTATGTCTAACTAATTACACTTTTGGTCTATACAGAAATCTGACTCAGAGGCAAACCCTCAGCCTGTCTTCCATGATGGTGGTCCAGTCTGGGGATACGGCTGACATTGGTAATGGGTTATTGATTTCCACATTGCCATTGAGTAATGAGCATATCCTTCTATGTTCCTATTCTTGTAGGGACTATGAAAAGGTAAATTTCTAGAATTAATGGTATCCAATAGTTATTATCGAGGTGATATTTATATTTCTAGAGACTGTCATTTATCAAATAATGAAATAGAAAATTATTGATCACTAAGCTAAAAAGAGTCTTGACAATCCGTTAGTTAAAATCTCTCACCTCCCAGTTCAGTGCCAGGTGAGTTAAGAAATGAGAAGATTTTTATTTTGGAATACTGGATTGTATGGTTCCTCAGATGTAAAAGGAATAGCTCAGTAATCTTCTCTCTTATCTACAGGATCTCTTTCTCTCTTTTTATTTGTTCTCATTAAACTTTGCTTTAATGGGTCTCAAAATTCAGTGACAGATTTTTGGTCAAGTAGTTTCCGTTAAAAAGTACTGACTTTAAAAGCTAGTAGCTTAAAACTGCCACATATACTCAAAAAGGCAGGTCTAGGTACTATTGATGAGAACAAATGGGGGGGTGGGCCACAGGTAGCATGGTGCATTAAGATGCAGGATTCCTACATGGTCAACTAGAGTTCAAATCTTGGAGTTGGTGGCTTGAAAATAACACTGGGTGTGTTTGTCTGCATGACCAAAATCCTGAGAGGAGAATGGAGGAGAAGGGACTGCAAAGGGATTATGGCATGGCCATCCCCACTGGAGGTGATTTCTCACTTCCCCTCTTTGTCCATTTCTGGTGAGTACACATGTTCATGGCAAAAATCACACACACACACACACACACACACACACACACACACACGGGAAACTAAATTATTACTTAACTAATAACTTTTTAGCAAAGTAGGAGCCCATGTAAGGATAATTAAAGGTATCATTGAAAGTAAATAAAAAAATCCTAGACCTACCACCATTTGTTGCTGCGCTCAACATGCATGGTTATGTCTAACTAATTACACTTTTGGTCTATACAGAAATCTGACTCAGAGGCAAACCCTCAGCCTGTCTTCCATGATGGTGGTCCAGTCTGGGGATACGGCTGACATTGGTAATGGGTTATTGATTTCCACATTGCCATTGAGTAATGAGCATATCCTTCTATGTTCCTATTCTTGTAGGGACTATGAAAAGGTAAATTTCTAGAATTAATGGTATCCAATAGTTATTATCGAGGTGATATTTATATTTCTAGAGACTGTCATTTATCAAATAATGAAATAGAAAATTATTGATCACTAAGCTAAAAAGAGTCTTGACAATCCGTTAGTTAAAATCTCTCACCTCCCAGTTCAGTGCCAGGTGAGTTAAGAAATGAGAAGATTTTTATTTTGGAATACTGGATTGTATGGTTCCTCAGATGTAAAAGGAATAGCTCAGTAATCTTCTCTCTTATCTACAGGATCTCTTTCTCTCTTTTTATTTGTTCTCATTAAACTTTGCTTTAATGGGTCTCAAAATTCAGTGACAGATTTTTGGTCAAGTAGTTTCCGTTAAAAAGTACTGACTTTAAAAGCTAGTAGCTTAAAACTGCCACATATACTCAAAAACAAATGGTTCACAAAAAATTTTCCTTTCCTTCTGAAGGTTCCACGGTGTGTTGTTATCATTAACCAGTCTTTTACTATTAAACTTAAATGGCCAATTGAGACAAACAGTTCTGAGACTGTTCTTCCACCACTGATTAAGACTGGGGTGGCAGGAATTAGGGATGTTCATTCAGCCTGCCGAGCTTTCTGGGCGGATTTGGTGACCTTGCCAGCTCCAGCAGCCTACCTGTCCATGGCTTTGATGACACTGACAACTGTCTGTCTCATATCACGAACAGCAAAATGACCCAGAGGAGGATAGTCAGAGAAGCTCTCAACACACATGGGCTGGCCAGGAACCATATCAACAATGGCAGCATCACAGGATTTCAGAAATTTAGGGCCATCTTCCAGCTTTTTACCAGAACGGCAATCTTTTCCCTCAGCTCAGCAAACTTGCAAGGAATGTGAGCTGTGACAATCCAGTACAGGGGCATAGCCAGCACTGATGTGGCCTGGATGGTTCAGGATAATCACCTGAGCAGTAAAGTCAGCTGCTTCCATTGGGGGGTGGTTTTTGCTGTCACCAGCAACATTGCCACATTGAACATCTTTTATAGACATGTTCTTCACATTGAAGCCCGTATTGTCCCCAGGAAGGGCATCACTCAAAATTTCATAGTGCATTTCAACAGACTCTAGTTCAGCTGTCACATTGACTGGTGTAAAGGTGACCAATATACCAGATTTGAGCACACCAGCCTCCTCTTGGCCCACAATGAGAGTGCAAATACTACAAATTTTATAGACATCCTGGAGGGGTAGATGCAAGGGTTTGTCAGTTGGACAAATTGGTGGTGGAATGCAATCCAGAGCCTCAAGCAGTGTAGTTCCACTCTCATTTCTTTTTCTTTGCTTTTTTTTTTAAGAGAGATATTTGGTAGAGGGCATGTGCATTTGCCAAAGAGACAGAGATACAGAAAGTGAGAAATCACTCCCAGAAAGAAAGCCACATCATAATTCCTTCTCCTCCATTCGCCTCTCAGAATTTGAGACATGCACACATACATGCCTGGTGTGAATTTGCAGCTGCCAGGCCAGGCACTCAAACTGCTCTCAATTATGTGGGAGTCCAGCAACATAACCATTGCGCTGTCTGCTGGCCTCTTGCATTGCCATCGTTATGGGTGACTTCCTATCCCTTGAATCATGGAATAGTAGCACTTGGCTCCAACATGTTGTCACCATTTCAACTAGAAATTGGCACAAATGCTACTGTGTGGGGATTGTAGCCAATTTTCCTAATGTAGGTGCTGACTTCCTTAACAATTACCTTGAATCTATTCTGGCTGTAGGGTGGCTCAGTAGAATCCATTTTGTTCACACCAAGAATTAGTTGTTTCACACCCAGTGTGTAAGCCAGAAGGGCACACTCACAGGTCTGCCCATTCTTGGAGGCATCAGCTTTGAATTCACCAATACCAGCAGCAACAATCAGGACAGCACAGTTGGCCTGAGATGTGCCTACAATCAAGTTTTTGATAAAGTCTTTGTATCCCGGGCCATCAATGATCGTCACATAGTACTTGCTGGTTTCAAATTTCCTCAGAGATATCAATGGAGATACCATGCTCACATTCAGCTTTCAGTTTATCCAAGACCCAGGCATACTTGAGGAGCCCTTTCCCATCTCAGCAGTCCCCTTCTTAAATTCTGTGTTGGTTCTTTTATCAACCCACTACATCTGTAGATCAGATGGCCAGTAGTAGCAGACTTCCTTGAATGGACGTGTCCCATGACAATGATGTTGATGTGAGTCTTCTCTTCTTTCATTTTGGTTTTGATTTAATGGTGGTTTTCATGACACCTGTGTTCTGATGGCAAAATCATTATGAAAAAAAATAAAAAGCTGCAGGTTCACTTTTTATAGTTTCAGTTAACCACAGCCCACTGTGGGTCAAAAATAGATGAGTACAGTTCAATAAGATATTTCAAGAGAGAAAGAGAAGTAAATTCACACACCTTTATTATAGTATATTGCTTTATACCAGTATAGAAATATAACAAATGAACTTTGTTCTATTTTGTTGTAAGTTTATGTTGCTAATCTTTTACTTTAATTTATAAATTAAGCTTTACCATAGGCATATATGTAGAGGAGAAAAACAGTGAAAACAGGATTCAGTACTGTGTGTAGTTTCCACCATCCATTTGGGGAACTCTTAGAACAAACCTCCTATGAATAGGGGAGTACTACCATATTAACATTTTTAATAGATTTGAAATTAGTATTAAAAGAATGTTACTGGGAGACCAGTAGACGGCATAATGGTTACATCGCTGGACTTCCACATAGTCCATTGTGGTTTGATTCCTGGACTCAGCAACTTATAACTGACACTGAACACGTGTGTATGTATGCCCCAAATCCCAAGAGGCCAGCAACTTATAACTGACACTGAACATGTGTGTATGTATGTCCCAAATTCCAAGAGGAGAATGGAGAAGAAGGGATTGGGCTTGGCCATCCCCCTGAAGAGTGATTTCTCACTTTCTGTCTCTCTGTCTCTTTCAGTCTCTCCAGAGAGCATACACACCCTATAACAAAAATATCTCTGGAAAAAAGAAAGATATTTACTGGAGCCAGCAGGTGGTGTAGTGGTTAAGATGGTGGACTCACACACATTCAACCACAGTTCTATTCCCAGACCTGGTACCTTGAAAATCATGCCTGGTGCCTGTGTGCATGCCCAAAATCCCAGGAGGAAAATGGAGAAGAAGGAATTATGGTGTGACCATCTCTTCAGGGGTGATTTCTCACTTTCTCTCTCACAGTCTCTCTCTGGTGAGCACACATACCCTATGGCAAAAAAAAAAAAACTAAAAAAATTTTAAAAATTAAAAACAAAGGTATTTATCAAGTTTGGTAAAAAGATTACTAAGATTAGAAAAGGTAGGACTATAGCCTTCTTACATATCTTAGACCTGTGTTGTTTGTTATCAATGAAGGAGAAAATACTGTGTCCATCTCCAAAAGGAGACATCATTACCCAGACAAAAGCGAAGTTCTACTATGACATATTCACAGGTATATCATATAAAAGTTTAATGAATAAAACTTGGGGGAAATGATGAGATAATAAAGCAGGACAGGATTTTTTTTTAATTATAGAAATGCTCAATCTTTTTTGCAAATTATTTTGTATCATCAGTAGGGTAAAATTGTATGAGGTCATTCCCAAATTCCTTTGACTCCAGAAATATTTTTCATCCAGAATATCTTGTTGGACTAGAAATGTGAAGAAAAGGTTTTGTGAGGAAAGATTGTATAAGATCCATAGAGCTTGACCTTCGCTTGTTTGACTTGTACATGCCTGCCCTGTATAGGCTCAACACGCATTAATGAGCAGCACACATGACAATACTTGGATCCTATACATTGCATGAATCTATGGAGCCACAGCTTTCTACAGGTGCTCACCTGGTCTCTGGTTGAATATCTCCAATAACAAGGTCTTCTGCCTTCCAAGGTAGCCTCTTAAACTTTGCATATCTCCCATAGTTAGAAAGGCCTTCCTTAAGCTAAATGACAATCTATACGCTTGCAACTTTTGTCTGTTGGTCATATTTCTGCCTTCTGGGCCCATTTAGGACATCTCTAAGATACCCAAGCAGGTAAAGTTTACAGTTTATTATAGTATAGAACCAAACTTGCTATTATTGTCCCATACTCTAACTTCCTTCTCTCTGTTTCAAACTTATTAACCCTGAGTCCTGAGCTGGTAATACTTAGCATCCTTGAGTCATCTTCCATGGAGCAGACTCAATTGCTTGCTTCCTTTACTTAGAAAACATTTTTATGAGGGACTCCTCCTGGCACTGAAAATAAATAGAGCAATTAGACATGGCCTTGTTGTCAGAAAGACTGACATTCTAGGGGATAGAGATCATGATAATAGAATAAGATACAGCACAAAGATATTTGCAGTGCTATGGGCACACAAAGTATGGAGCTGCTACATGTGCTTGGGAGTGTCAGAGGAGATTTCATAAAGAAGATGACATTTTAGCTGTTGTTTGAAAGAGAAGTAAGAATTTTTTATGTAGAGAAGGTAGGAAAAGGGTATTTCAGCAAAAAAAGTAACATCATGAACAGAGGCATGAAAGTGTAGTATCTGCACATTTTTGTGTGGGACTGACATTTTTGGTATGTCTATAATGTTGACTGCACCGAGGCATGATGATGAAGAAAAGAGAGGAATAAGGCATAGTAAACAGTCTTTGACTCCATGTACTTCTAAAAAAAGTAAGAAAAACTTGACAGAAGGGAGCAAGTACTTGGGGGAGGATTTAACCTTGGAAATAAAGGATGAGGTTTTGGGACCAGCAGTTAGCGTAATGGCTATGTCGCTGAACTTCCACGTAGTCAATCGAGGCCCAGACCTGGTGGCTTAAAACTCATGCCGGGCTCGTGTGTGTGTGCGTGCCCAAGATCCCAAGAGTAGAATGGAGGAGAAGGGATTGTGGCGTGGCCATCCCCTCTGGGGGTGTGATTTCTCACTTTCTATCTCTCTGTCTCTCTTTGTCTTTCTGGTGAGCACACACGCCCTATAGCAAAAACCTCTCAAGATCCATAGAGCTTGACCTTCGCTTGTTTGACTTGTACATGCCTGCCCTGTATAGGCTCAACACGCATTAATGAGCAGCACACATGACAATACTTGGATCCTATACATTGCATGAATCTATGGAGCCACAGCTTTCTACAGGTGCTCACCTGGTCTCTGGTTGAATATCTCCAATAACAAGGTCTTCTGCCTTCCAAGGTAGCCTCTTAAACTTTGCATATCTCCCATAGTTAGAAAGGCCTTCCTTAAGCTAAATGACAATCTATACGCTTGCAACTTTTGTCTGTTGGTCATATTTCTGCCTTCTGGGCCCATTTAGGACATCTCTAAGATACCCAAGCAGGTAAAGTTTACAGTTTATTATAGTATAGAACCAAACTTGCTATTATTGTCCCATACTCTAACTTCCTTCTCTCTGTTTCAAACTTATTAACCCTGAGTCCTGAGCTGGTAATACTTAGCATCCTTGAGTCATCTTCCATGGAGCAGACTCAATTGCTTGCTTCCTTTACTTAGAAAACATTTTTATGAGGGACTCCTCCTGGCACTGAAAATAAATAGAGCAATTAGACATGGCCTTGTTGTCAGAAAGACTGACATTCTAGGGGATAGAGATCATGATAATAGAATAAGATACAGCACAAAGATATTTGCAGTGCTATGGGCACACAAAGTATGGAGCTGCTACATGTGCTTGGGAGTGTCAGAGGAGATTTCATAAAGAAGATGACATTTTAGCTGTTGTTTGAAAGAGAAGTAAGAATTTTTTATGTAGAGAAGGTAGGAAAAGGGTATTTCAGCAAAAAAAGTAACATCATGAACAGAGGCATGAAAGTGTAGTATCTGCACATTTTTGTGTGGGACTGACATTTTTGGTATGTCTATAATGTTGACTGCACCGAGGCATGATGATGAAGAAAAGAGAGGAATAAGGCATAGTAAACAGTCTTTGACTCCATGTACTTCTAAAAAAAGTAAGAAAAACTTGACAGAAGGGAGCAAGTACTTGGGGGAGGATTTAACCTTGGAAATAAAGGATGAGGTTTTGGGACCAGCAGTTAGCGTAATGGCTATGTCGCTGAACTTCCACGTAGTCAATCGAGGCCCAGACCTGGTGGCTTAAAACTCATGCCGGGCTCGTGTGTGTGTGCGTGCCCAAGATCCCAAGAGTAGAATGGAGGAGAAGGGATTGTGGCGTGGCCATCCCCTCTGGGGGTGTGATTTCTCACTTTCTATCTCTCTGTCTCTCTTTGTCTTTCTGGTGAGCACACACGCCCTATAGCAAAAACCTCTCAAAAAAAAAAAAAAAATGAGGTTTTGAGGAGTTGAAAAAGTTTGATAAAAAGCTATGAAGAGGGACCAGCAGTTGGCATAATGACGATGTCACTGGACTCCCATTTGGTCGACCACAGTTTGAGTCCCAAACCTGGTGGCTTAAACTCACGCCAGACGTGCGTACATGCGTGCCCAGGATCCCAAGAGGAGAATGGAGTAGAAGGGATTGTGGCACGACCATCCCCCTTGGGAGTGATTTCTCACTTTCTGTCTCTCTGTCCCTATCTGTTTTTTCTGGTTAGTTCATGCTCCCTGTAGCAAAAACCTCTCAAACAAAACAAAACAAAACAAAACAAAAAATATAAAAATAAAATAAAAGAAAGAAAAAGAAAAAAAGCTGTGGAGACTAAAACAAGGAATATAAAAAGTAAGTAAGATACATAAGAGGTTTACCCAATGGCAATAAAGAAATAGCATTAATCTGTATTGAAACTAGATTTCTACAACATACTCTTGGTATTAGTTTAGAATTCAGGAGTAGAGAAGAAGGCAGGAATAATGCTGAGGTGAAACAAAAACCGTGAGAGACCGAACAGCATAGACAGTGAATGCCATATACCATATAATCTGCAAAGCATTACGTGCTCCTAATGAATAGCAGTGACTGTTTCTACCGCTCTTACAACCACAGCTTCTACTAACAAAATAAGACATCAGAAAAAATTCTAGGGTGATGGCAATAACACCATTACATGACAGACCAAAGAATCAAGGTTAACTGAGAGGAAAATGAAGTCAGAACAGGACTGGGGAAACTGGGAGGATGGAATGACTGGAAAAATCACAGTGAGAAGGAAGGCATCCGGAAGGAAAACATGACACGGCATTAGTCAGAATAAATAAAGCTAGTTGCTACAGCAATGTCCCAAATTCCAGTGTCTTAACACAATAAAGTTCTTTCCCTCATGAGAAATCTGGTACCAATGATGACTTTCTCCCAAGCAGTGACTCAGAGAATGAGGGTCCTTCCATCTAGGAGCTTCTTGAAGTTCTCAACTTTGGACCAAGATTGGCAAGAGAAAAAAATATCAGATCATGTATTATATGTTAGGAGCCCAGTTGAGAGTGGTATACAAACACTTTTACCCTCATTCCATTGACCAAAGATTGCTTCAAAGACATATCTAGAAATGTAATTGGAAAATTAGGCCCTTTTTGTGCCTGGAAGAATAATAAGTGGCTTCCTAAAATCCTAACAGTTTCTGCAACATATAGTCACTGTCCTCACAATCTAATATCAACAAAAAGACAGACAACCATCATTCAATGAGGTAGTATGAACCAGGTTCTATGGAGTCACAGGGGAATGAGTGATAATTTTGGCAGGGAATCCAACAGAGCATTATGAAGAGGTTGACTTAAAAAATTTATGCATTTAATCACTGTGTATTATTATTGTAAACCAAATGAATTTTCCCATCACTAATACACTGCATATGGGTCTCAAAATGAATCAAAGATCTAAACCTAAAACCTCAAACTATGAAAGTACTGGTGGAAAACACAGGGGGAACTCATAGAAACATAGGAGTGGGCAAAGACTTCTTGAATAAGACTCCCAAAACACAGGCAATAATCCCCAAAATAGACAAGTGGGATTACAGTAGATTTAAAACCTTCTGCACTGCAAAAGAAACCATAACTAGAAAAAATTGACAACCCTTGGAATGGGGAAAGGCTGACTTTTAACCAGAGTGTTGAAGAATACCTGAGAGCCACCTAGCAGAGAAGATAAGGAAGAATATTTCATATGGCACATTAACTGAAACACAGAATTTTGGAAGAACATAGCACATTTAGAGGGTGATGGGGAGGAGGTTGGGATAATGGGGCTTCTGGGGAAGAAAACATCACCTTAGAATGTACAGCTAATGTGAGGGTACAATTAAACTCCATAAAATATTTTAAAGCAGGAGATTGGTATGATAAGACTAAACTTTAGAACAGATTAAGCAGAAGTTTAGAAGATGGGATGGGAGCAACCTGGAAAAGGTTTTGCATTAGTCTTAGAAGGAAATGATGAAAACTCTAAGAAGGGCAGTAGGAGCAGAGGCTTCAGGCAGGAGTAATCAGCCTGCCTTTTTATTGGTTGAATTAACACAGTTTCTCACCTTCATTCCCCAATCACCTCAGGCTGTTGCCCTAAACTGAGAAAATGAATCTTTCTTTATCTTTGAAAATCCATGACTCTATTCTTGTATCTCTTCCATCCTGTTCTTTACAAAGTAACAAGAGATTTCATTTCATTTTTTAAAATTCTGCCTAGAGTTAGTCAACTAAAGGTTGCCCTTCATGAAAAGAAAAATTGTAAGGATTGACAATAATGGTAGAATTTTAGGCACTGGAAAAGTAGGAAAATGTTATTAATTTTTAACAGAACATTCTTTTATGCTGTCATGAATAAGGCCACCTGTATCAGATGTCTCCTTGATTTCTATTCATAGTGCTATTATAAATCTGGTGGACCAATAAATATAATCAAGCAAATTGTTTACTTAAAGTAATCAAACTGTAACAATTCTTTTTAGCATCGCCATTTTTATGTCTAGCCCTGTCCCATAGGCAGTAATAGCTTATTTAATTTTTTCAAAGATTCAACATTCTTGGATATTGATCAAGAACTGTTATCTATTTTGAACTGTGACTACTTGGACCATAATGCCATATCCCTCTCTCCCCAGAGTGTCTCTCACAGAAGTTTGAGCAGCTTATATTGTCAATATTGAAGCTGCTAAATTACTGGCAATACTGGAGAAAAAAGATCAAATATCAATATCAATGAGCCATAATAAGATGCTTTTTATCAGTTGTCAATTAAATTGCCATACTTAATTGGCTCTGTGTTTAAAAATATACATTACTGATAAATAATGACAGAAGTACATACATTAATAAATATGAAGTTGGGGACTTTTTTTTTTCAGCTTCATTTATTTCTTTTTAGTGTCTAGTCTCTTACCTTCTCTGTTCCCTGCAGACAAATATTGTGTTTATTATCTAAGAAGCATGTCAATCAGCCCTAAATAGAACTGATAATCACATTTTTCTGCAGAAAGAGCAATTAGACTTCCAGATAATAGGCTCAATACTGCTTTGTAAACTTGTGTGGATGGCTTAAATTGACTAAGTTACCAAGATATTTGCTCTGCGTCAAATGGCCATAAGGCATTATCGTAGCACTCAAGAACCTTGATGCTTTTAGTCTTAATTCTACCAGTTGTACCAGGTGTAGGTAAAAAAAATCAAGTTCTGCAGAAAGTCTCTTTACTAAACTTTTGTTGGATGCCTATTGTGAGCCTAGCAGCATTTAAGATAAAATGGGATAGGAAGCTAAGACAAATGGAACCCTATGTTTACACACGGAGTTGATAGTCTCAACTATCAACAATAAAGAAAATTCACACACATACACTTCTGACAGAGATCTAGGGTGGTGTAGTAAGACAGAGCAGAGTAGACAGTAGACATTTGAAAAGGTTAGTTCAGCTGGATTATGATCTATGATTTGGAGCTAAAATACATGAAATATTTTCATGGATAGGAAGTAGGCTAAGCCCTTTGCGTTAAAATCATATCCTCACAACAACTCCAAAGTGGGTATTATTATCTTCACTTACTTACAAATGAGAAAATTGAAGTCCTGATGGAATAGGCAGCTTTGCCAAGCTAGGACTGACGTTGAAACCTAGTGTAGTCGTGCCTGATAGCAAAGTCTATCCTTCTGGTAGTGCTGCTAGGTCCCCTCTGGGACACCGGGACTGGACAAAGGGTGGGAGATGTGGCTGACATTCAGATAGTGGCGCATTTGCCATGCAGGCAGAACAATTCCCATCTTCAGTTTTTACCGTGTTGAGTTAGTTTGGAGCAAATTCAGGTTGTCTAAGCTCAGTGGATGAAATATGGATCAGTTCTCTTGAAAAACCAATGATGTCATTTAGTTGAATTAGTTGATTTGGTTAAATAGAAGGACCTTAAAACTCATTGAGTCAAAATATGTTATTCTGGAGAAAAGGTAGCTTGCTAATTTATTGATTCATTTATTTATTCATAACAAACATTATATGGCATACACTGTACAGAATTACTTCTTGGTATTTAAGTGACATAATTTATAATATATTATAGTTTGACTTTCCCTCAAAGTTTCTCTTGACAAATTAGATTTTCTTCATCTAGGAGGAAAAATGCAAAATGTTTTTTCTCATAAATTACATTTGTGATAAACTGATCACAATAATAGATATGAAGCAGTTTTAGGTTTTAGCATTTTCAGTGCACTTTTAATATAATTATCAGAAAATAAATTTTAAATGGAAATTATGTATAAATTAACATGGAGTCAACAATATTTGTCCTTTTCTCATAATTATTTTTAGAAAAATAACCTGTCTACTGCTATGAATGTATAAACACTTTCATAAACAATTTCATGAGGGAGTGTATGTAATGCAGGGGAAATTACCTCGTTTAAAGTTTAAATTGAATAGATGCTGGCATATGAGTACACCAGTGAAATCATCACCACTGTCAAGATATGGGATATTTTCATCATGCCAAAGTTTCCTCATGCTCCTCTGTTCTGTGCTTACCTTTTTTTTTTTGATTAAAAATTTTGTAATCGGGACCAGCAGTTAGCATAATGGCTATGTCGCTGGACTCCCACGTAGTCGACCGTGGTTCGAGGCCCGGACCCTGTGGCTTAAACTCACGCTGGGCGCGTGTGTGTACGTGCCCAAGATCCCAAAAGGAGAATGGAGGAGAAGGGATTGCGGCGTGGCCATCTCCCCTGGTGGGTGATTTCTTACTTTCTGTCTCTGTCTCTGTCTGTCTGGCGAGCGCGCGTGCCCTATAGCAAAAACCTCTCCAAAAAAAAATAATAATTTTGTAATCAAATAAATGTCAGGCCTATAGGAAAGCCATAAGAATTTTTTAAGACTCTCATATAGCCTTCAACCAGATTGACTCATTCACCAAATGTTAACATTTGCCATGTTTACTCACTTACCCTTCTTCTCTCAGCCCATCCATGTCTAAGTATGTCAGTGTGTATTTTTAAAAAACAAAGACTTGGTGGGCTGCCCCAGTAGCAGTTAAGCACTGTACAGAGGAAGTAGGATCCTACGTGGGCAACTGCATTGGACCTCAGCCCCAGAGGCTTGAAAAACACGCTGGGCTTGGGTATTCATGGCCAGGCTCCCAACGGGATGGACAAGTAGAGGAACAAAGGACTATGGAATGAACAGCCCTGCAGGGGTGCTTTAACTCTCTCTCACACACACACACCCACAGACAACCACATGCCCTGTGGCAAAAAGAAAGGCTAAGCGATAAAATTCAGGAAATTTAGTATCGAAGCCAAATAACTATCTAATATGTAGTTCTTATTAAATTTTCCTGACTGAACACTACTTTATTCTGACTTTTCCCCAAACCCACATTTTCATATAGGACCCTACATTGTACCCCATAGTCATGTCACTTCAGCTGCCTTTAATTTGGAAGTTCCTCTTCTGTTCTTGAGTATCATGACACTAATATTTTGAAAAGCACAGGCTTGCTGTATTGTACAATAGAATGTCCTTCAATTTGCATTGGTCTGATTGTTCTCCTGTGATTTGATGTCGCTGGGTATTTTTTCCCAAGAATGCTACACGAGTGATATCCTGTCGGGCTGAGGGCATCGTGCAAGAATACAACTGATGTCAGTTTAGCCCATTACTGGGGAGGCTGACTCTGAGCACTTGGTAAGGGCAGTTGTCTGCCGGGTTTCTCCATGATAAAGGTCTGGGGAACCAGCAGTTAGCGTAATGGCTATGTCGCTGGACTCCCACGTAGTCGACCACGGTTCGTGTCCCGGACCCGGTGGCTTAAAACTCACGCCGGGCGCGTGTGCGTGCGTGCCCAAGATCCCAAGAGGAGAATGGAGGAGAAGGGACTGCGGCGTGACCATCCCCCCTGGGGGGTGATTTCTCGCTTTCTGTCTCTATGTCTCTCTCTGTCTGTCTGGCGAGCGCACGCGCCCTACAGTGAAAATCTCTCCAAAAAAAAAAAAAAAGGTCTGCCCTTCCCTTTTGTAATTAAGAAGTAATCTATGGTTAGATACTTTAAAAAGGTATAAATATCTTATCCTGAATAAACGTTTACCCTTTGGTAAAATGAGTAAAATCATGGTCCTTGCTTAAGTCAATTGTTAATATCATTACTGCAAAATAGTGCTTTTCCAATTCTTCCATTTTTCTTACATTTATTGGCTGACATTGTACTATAAAGAAAGCATTTTCTTTCTTTCTCATTTTATTTGTTTCTTTGTTTATTTGTTTGTATATTTCTGTGGACTCATGGTTTTTTTTTTTTTTTTTTTTTACCAAAAGTGCTATAATCCATTCTTGTCGTTTTTTAAAGAGAGAGATTTTTGCTACAGAGCGTGTGCACTCACTAGAAAGACAGAGAGAGACAGAGAGACAGAAAGAAAGAAATCTTCCCCCCTGGGGGGATGGCCACACTGCAATCCTTTCTTCTCCATTCTCCTCTCACGATTTTGGGCATGCATGTACATGTGCCTGGCATGAGTTGAAGCCGCTGGGTCTGGGACTCCAACCACAGTCCACTATGTGGGAGTCCAGCAATGTAACCATTATACCATCTGCTGGTCCCCATTCTTGTCACTTTTCATTTTGATACACAAGTTGTTCTAGTGTGCCCAGTGGACGTTACATCCAGCTGGCTCCTGAGTTATATTGATGTCTTCCTCTCCTTTGTGAGCACTTTATTACTCTCTGTAATGAGATGTTCCAGGATTACCTTGGGCTTTTCCTTCTCCAATCCTGGTTTCAGACCTTACTCCATGGATCTCTAGTTCCTTTAGGGGTAAGTATTTAGAAACCGAGATCCGTGGGCTAGGGAAATTTTGTGTCTTAGCATTACCATGATGTCAATATGAGACCAAGGGCAAAAACAATAACTCCTTAGTGTCATGGTACACACAGAGTTCAAGTGTCCAGTTGTCTCATAAATGGCATAATTGTTTTCTTACAGTGTGTTGATTTATAGGTATCTTAAGTCTTTGTAACTTTTTAGATTTGTTTTCTATTTATTTCCATGTTCTTGCCATTTACTTGCTGAAGAAATCAAACTCCTCTTTCTACAGAGTGTTACATAGTCTGGATTTTGCTGGTCAGATTCCAGTGTTACAGTTTAACATATTGGGTCTTCAGAAAAGTTATGATATATATATGTGTGTGTGTGTGTGTGTGTGTATATATATACATATATATATATATGAGAGACTTTTGCTATAGGGTGTGTGTGCTCGACAGAGAGACAGAAAATAAGAAATCATCCCTTGGGGAGATGGCCGCACCACAACCCCTTCTTCTCCATTCTCCTCTAGTGATTTGGGGGCATGTATGCATACATGTCTGGCATGAGTTTTAAGCTGCAAAGTCCAGGATTCAAACGGCAGTTGGCTATGTGGGAGTCTAGCGACATAACTATTTCTCTATCTGCTGGTCTCACTATGTTTTTCTATGCAAAAATATCTTATAACTTTTCTGACAACCTAATATTTCTTTGTTGTCTATATTCCCTATAAATTGGTACGTTAATTTAGAACCATTTTCATATTTGGATCCTTGTCCTCCTTCTTTGGGCAAGACTACATCATAG